CTTGACTCAGATGTCATCATATAAACGATTAACGTGAATTTGCTTTTTGGGGGATAGCTTTCACTTGAATCAAGTGTTTCTAGATAGTTTTTAATCGGAGAAACGATCGAATCACGTCATATCGGGGTCGATACCTATAAGATTAATAAGTAGTTGGTGGAAAGTCTTAGCAGCTTCCCCGGGAGCATCGAACTGAGTGTTGGTTACGACCCCACATCCTTCGCCACCCCTAGAGCAACCCAACTACTCTCGTCTCTCGTGTGCATAAGTTACGAGGCAACGTGCCCTGCAAAGCCCGGCAATTAACATGATCTATCGCATGAGCGTAATAACGCTCCACTTCCGCATTTCTCTCTATCTCACCGTACCCCTGTTTTTTACCTGCGGAGACGTTTACACGTATTTTTATGTGAAAACGCTTGCCATATTCATTATTTCCGGGATGAATTGTCGAGGGGAATTCTCTGTGCTCGGCTTATCGCTAATTTTTTACGTGCATAAATTCGCTACAAATCATCGATTCATAAAAAACGTCAGTATATTTTGAAAAATGGCTCATTTTATTCAGAAAATATTGATATTTTTGTCTCATTTTTTTTTAATTAAAAAAAATGAAGTTATGGGCTAATAAAGTCATTTATTTTGATTTATTTTTTTGGTTCTTTCAAATAGATTTTTTTGATGAATTGTCCATTTGGATAAAGCAAGTCAAGTCATTTTCTTTTTAGAACAATTTTCTCTAAATCTTCGAAGGTCTTTTTCCTGAATTGCAATTGATGTATTTTCAAAATGAAATTCGTGGATTCGCCGATTCAATTTTGATCTGAAATCCTCGAATTAAATGATCATCTGATAGTAATAAATTAATGGGTTGACTCTTCAATTTTCCGTTGAACTCGTGACAGATTGATAAATAAGAACACTCGCTTAAACCCCGACAACAATTTCAACTTCCATCACCAATCCCGAATCTTTGCCCCAACCGGCAACAGGTCTTATATCGACGTGACACCGGAAGGATTCTGATCTCTCTCAAACCGGAAAAATTCTCAACCCTCGAATGCTCACCCCCGAAACTCTGCCAGAGATTTCTAAGTGAATCAAGGGAGAGAGAGAGAGAAAAAAAAAGTGAAAGCACACGATTTCTCTTCCAAGTTCAACATTGCAACAGGCATGAGTCCTGGGGTTCAAAGTGACAACGAGTCATTCTTTCTGAACCTGGTGGACAATGAAAAAGTATAACCGGGAGGAGTTGAAAGGCCGAAAAATTCGAAAAAGTTGGATTTAGAGTGGGTGAAAGCTGAAATGAGAGATGAAGGGACAAGAGTGCTCCATCTGGGTAAAAGTTTCTCTGAAAAATGTGAAAAATTCTTGCACCGTTTCTCATCCCCGGGGCCTCCGCCACTCTGGAATTTTCATCGTCCACTCGACGCACAAAAAAAAATATAATAAAAATAAAATAACAAAATCCCAGAAAAATTGAATGAAAAGAATTTCAGGACAAATACCGCAATTTGAGGTTTTCTTACTCACTGAATCAGAGGTGATTCTCAAAAGTATTTTTCAGTCGTCAGATAATTTTTAAACCATATTCTCCACAATTGTCGGGATAAGTACTTGAATCGCTGGATTAAAACAAGTATCCGGTGAAATGAACTGAGAGTGAAGGAAAAAATTCATGAGGAGGAGAAAAATGCCTTGAGACCTCGGAATTCGATCAGACCTTGGTAGCTAGAGTAGTTCCTCAATCTAGAGACTTTATATCGACACTCTCTCGTTTTTCACCATTTTTTTTTTCTTCCATTTTCATTTTTTTATTTGAACCGGGGATCGGTTCCCATGGACACCCGGGTGACGCAGGCGGATTATAGATTAAACGATGGCCCGAGACAATTTTCTGTTGCTCTTGTCGTCTATCGCCTAGTTCTCCAACCTAATCCTGTGCTATTCTCATCACCTTTTCTTCTTCACTCTGTTCTTTTTTCTACCCGTGTCTTTCATTATTTTCGTTTACCACCCACTGATGGCATTCAATCAATTCGCATAATTTTGTTTGAGACTGGAGGAATGACGGGGGGGATAGCACCACCAGTGGGTGGAACATTACGGATAGATTGGGTTAGGCCTCTTGGGGAGTGGATAATTAAACTCGTACAGAGCCAATCTTGGACATGACTCGGTAGCTAAGACAGTTGTTATTGCCCAGGAGACGTGACCTTCTTCATGTGGAGTTTAGGGAAATGTTGGAGACATAATTTCTGATTTGGTTGTCGGATAATCAGGTGTCTAGGTGCTGTCTGCATCATCAATTGCATCAGTTCAATCTTGACGTTTGAGAAAACATGATCTTGTTATGTGTCCACTTCGAAATAGATCTAGGACTTTAAAAATATAATGAAATACAATGAGATGTTCGGGTGGTGCATCATCATTTGCATCATCAGTTGCATCAACAGTTGCATCATAAGTTGCATCATCAGTTGCATCAGCTAGTTCTTCAAGTTTGAGAACATTTGATAAATGCACATGTAACACACATCAGGGAAGGCAATCGTGTTGTGTCCGAATGGGGGATGAGGCCAGATATTTTTTCTCGAATTATGAGAGTTGTCACTGGGATGCTGGTGTAGTTGGCAGAGAATTCATGACGGATAGTGCGATGTATCTGGGTTATCCGTGGCAACCGGTACGGAATGAATGGTAGTGTACCAGGGCGCTAGGTTGGTGTGACGGATGAACGGGAAACCGATGCAAAAGCGACGCAGACAAGCGGCTAGTGGAGATAGCACACCCCTCTTTCTCCATCCCCCTACATTTCTAAACTTGTATACAATCCTCGCACATATATTTGCCAGTGTGCACTGGCTTTTGCATAGTTTATGCATCTGTATTGGTACCCTTTCCTCACTTTGGTGCTCGCTGTGATGCATATTTATGCATGACTTGTGTATACAAATGTATATGTACTGAGGTATTATGAATCTGAATGTTAAAGCTCTCGGTGCCCGGCATCTGGGTAAAAATGCTTTCATGTGGAAATTCATAAGACTCCTTCGTTATTTCAACTATAGACGCTGTTTTTTTTTTTTTTTGGGTATTTATGGAAATAACGAGGGAGCAATTTTAAGTTGATATCGCTCAAGTCTGAGACATGATCTTAAGGGTTTTCTACACTCATATGTAGCCAAAATTGATGTTTTTTTATTTTTATGGCAAACTTCCCGGGGGTTGACGTGAAAAATATGACGCCTTTGCGTTTTGTCATTATTTAATGACTCATGACGTTTCAAGGGGGCGCGAATATTTTTCTGCGGTTTTTCTTAAGGTTTAAGAAGAATGGAGAAACTGTAGAGAAAATGTAGAAAAATTATAGCACCACCACAAAACTTCGTGAGCCATTAAATAACGACAAAAACCTAAAACTTTATATTTTTTTACAACAATTCCATCGATAATTTGTTAAAAAATAATAAAAACCGTGAATTGTGGCTTCAATTTTTTGGGGTAAATTTTATTCCCGGAATTCTATAGATTTTATTGAAATAATTTTCCAAGAATATCGATGAAAAATAGATTGTTCAAAGATTTTAATAACAATTATGAATATATTATTAAGTATAAAATTACTTGAATCAAGTATAACATATATTTGATTCAAGTATTTATTTTTTTTTTTCGTGGTGGTTCTTGTCTTTAGGGTGTGCAGTGGAAAAATTCAATAAACCGAAGGAAAAATTTGCTTCTGTCGAATGAATTAACTTGTTAGAAGGAAATGATGAGGGAATATGATCTGTCATTTGTGGGATATGATCGAATAATATTCTGGAAATTCCTTTGATGCGACGATACGTTGGATGCTGTGATGATGAAGTTGCGATTAGATGTGGGAGAGCATCAAATTTTACTCGAGTACTTGGCCCTCTTCAGAGCCGCTTACCAAGACTTTCTCGAATATTTGTGGAATAAAGGGATTTTCACACATTCTCACAGTATCGTACACCTGTACCAATACAACTTCACCTCTCAAGGCCTCTACACTCAATCTGCTTAACACACATTTTTTCGCTCCACATACATTTTTTATCGGTCGCGTCGCGTCGTGTCGCGATGTAATCTGATCATCTTGATGCTGGGAATTCTTGAAGAATCTCGGGTATTCTCCAAGGGATGTGATGCCCTCGGGGGTTGTCTATTTTTTAAATCGCCAATCATTTAAATAAAACTATTTTCAAAAATAATCATTTTTTGAACTATCCGAAATTTCTCAACTTTAGAAATCTGATTTCTTGATTCAAGTACAAATTTTCCAATTAACTAATTAAGATGGAATTTTTTAATTATTTATTTGCCAGTTCTAACAATAAATTTTCATGTTTGATTAAAAAATTAGACAACTCGCGTAATTCAGAAAGAATTTCGCATTTTTATCATTTTTACGCAATTGAAAGAAAGGGGGGATGCGGGGGGGTGAGGGTGAGGGTGAGAGTGAGGGTGAGGGGGGTTGGGGGCGATGAATATTTATTTTGAATTACGTAAATTAACTGAATAACTGAATAGTTTTGACCGAATCGGTAATGCTTACACATTTTTCCGTGAAAAAATGCCATGACTGGTATTAAGAAACTTTTTTATCGGCGGATGTAGCAATTGAATTGATGATCGAGAGAATGAATACATTTATTCGGATTTCGTTGACTGGATGTCGATGGCAATTAGCCAATCCCCTTGGCCATTGAGATGAGGGAGGTTATCATGGCTCTGGCAATAGTACTAACGATGCGTTCACAAACTTACGTTTATCGTTATTGCTCCCAGCAATTTCCTGAGGGGGTGGAAAATTTTTTTCGAGGATCCGAGGTAAAAACGAGGTGAATCCAACCCCTCACTTGCTCCCACCCTCTTTTTTTCCAGTCGTTAACATTTCGCTTCATGTGATTCGGTGTTTTTTTTTTATCCGAGGGTGAGGATAAAGAGGGATGGGCAAACAAGAGAGGGTAACAGAACGGGAGAGAATTCTTTATTTAGATTTTGTCATCCTTTTTTTTTCCCTCTTTCCTTTTGCGGAAGGGGTTAAGGGGTAATTAAGGCCCGGCCTTCTTCACATCTAGTGATTTTTTCCCGCTGGAATCACGGGAATCCCCGGGATTTTATTGGGATATTTTGGTTTTATGGGAATAGTAATTATCGTCACTAAACTGTATGAAAATTCTGATTTTGCGATGAAATGGGAGGTCATGATCTGCGACATGTCGGTAATTACGTCTCAGAGGAGAATATAACAATCGGAAGATTTCAATTACGATCAAGATGGCGGTGAAATTCCAATCCTGAAATAAACACGAATTATCAATTCTAGGAACACAACACATACTCAAGACCTAATTACCGATGTGTCAAACATTCTGACCTTTCGTTTGGTCGAAGTATTAGATTTTTTTATCACTTTGTTCGCACGCAATTAGTATCACCGTAAAACCAAATTATCACACGAAAATCGATAGCATTCCGGGAATTTCAACGAAAAAAAAAAATTACTATCGATCGACAAATCGATTTGAATCAGGACATGGAAGAAAATGATTTTTCAACAGAATTGTTAATATAAATATTAATAATCCATGCAATTCTTTGGGTTGAGCTCGATATGGGATTAATAATCCATGCAGAAGAAAAAGTAATAATAATAAATAATAATAATAATCGGGGGGTGATAACTCTCTCGAAACTACGTGACACCATCATCTGAATTAATCCGTTAACTCAACAAAATTTAATAAACACATTTATATTTATGGGACATGATAACGTATTTGGAATTCTAGAACAGGCAACCACCTAATTATTCGCCACTTGTCAGGAACAGTTACTTCTCCAAGTTACCACTCGAGTTTTGTACGCGCAGATCGATGGGAGGTAGTGAGGGATAACGTGAATATAAATGGCTTTCTTAATTGCAAACCACTAAACGTTAATAATCTTTTCGTTAAGGCGTGATGCATGTTTGACATCGATGTGCCTCCACAGGATTAAGATAATTTTTACGGTTGCTTTTATTGTTGTAATTCGATCATTCAGGTGTCCTGTCCGATTATTCATGGTCTCGCGGGTCAGGGTTGGCTTTAGTTTTCCATCAATTTCGCTGAGGCTTGATGATTCGGCTTGCTGGTGGTGGCAATTTTGTGAAGCCAGAGTTATCAAATACAGGGAGAAGATCACGTACACGTTGACCAGCACCAACAGCAGCCAACTCCAACCATCTGTTGTCAGAATTCCACATGATGAAACTTAATAGACAATTTTAGAGGTTATGGTATTAGGTAGTTGAATCAATTTCCGCGTCTCTTAAGGATTTTTACTGTGACTTTTAATTAAAAGAACTCATTTGTTCGACGATAAAATAATAATCCCAATAGTCTCGACAGAAATAAGTGGAGGCGTTCATTTTGTAGAGCATCGGCCATCTTGTTGTGATTTTCCCCCCACAAAATGGTGAAAAATTTCTGATTTGAATGAGTTTCTTCGTTTTCCCGTTCTTTTTAAATACTTTAATAAAAAAATTCACTGATTTCAATTAAATGATTTAATCATGAAGCAATCATGACTGGAATTTATTTCGTTGTGGCCTTTTTGACGACTAATTGATCGATGGAGAATGTTGCAGGGATCATTTAATTAATTTCTATGTCAATTAGTTTGAGGTGAAAGTTGAAATGTCAAGTCAGTGAGAATGAATGAATGAACACAGAAATTGATTCAGTTACCTAATATTCAATGACTCACCTGCTGTTTTTATACTTAGCGAGTGATGGATTCGCTGGATTAGGGGATTCTGTTGGAAAATATGTGGCACCATAAAAGTCTAGTCCACGACTTAGTAGCATTGATGTCTCTTCAACACTGGCAAGGGTGACTCGTATTATCGGTGGACCGGTGTAGATTGTTGATGGTTCATTTGCATTCTGGGTGTCGCCCTTTAATTTATCATTGATGGCTTTCACTGGTGGGAGAGACAAAGAACTTGAGTTTGTTCAGGAGTTTGTGAGGTTGATTATTGAGTTCAAGAGCTAAGTGTTTAGCGATCAACAATGAATTTTCATGAATTATTCAGTGAGTGGTGTTGGCAGAGTGGTGGAGCGAGTTTATTGAGTTTTCGTTCATTAGTTCATTTGGGGAATAAATTACTGCACGGGAGATGCCAGCAATATCGAATTTCGGGATAAATAGTCATTGATGATGGCCATCTGAATAAATCGACTGGGTACAACCATCGACTCTATTCGATATCAATCATCGGACTCTATTGCGTCCTTTGATTATATATTTTTTTCTCTTGATAACCTGTGGGAAAATATTAGAGTTATTCTCGTGTGGTTGACAGTCAATCGAATTTCGGCGGGAAGTGATTTTGAAAATTCAAGTTTTAGAATGAATTCGACGAAATTCATGAGTGTCTGTGACAGGGCAATGGAAATTCGATGAATTGATTGAATTTTCAATGGAATATGAACATTCGGGGATGAAATCACGTGAATTGTTCAGGTCTCATATAATCCTCATGATTTTTCATAATTTTTCGAACTTTTGTGGTGGTGCGATGATGGGATGTTTTCATGCATTTAATCTGCAGTTTTCTTTCTTTTGAAAAATTAATAAAAAAAGCAGAAAAATTTTCGCACCACCTTGAAACTTCGTGAGTCATTGAACAATGAAAAAACGGAAAAACTTTATATTTTTTCACGTCAATCGCATCGTCAGTGTATCGGAAAAACGAAGAAAACGTTAATTTTGTCTATGTGGGTGTAGAAGAGATGTCAGACTTAAGTCTGACACCGGGGTAAATGCAAGTACTTACAAACAGTTGCTGTATTTAACGGCAACCTGATGACCTCAACAACCGAGCGATATTTGTACAGTGCATGTCTTATATCGTCCTCGGGCAATTCCTCAGGTACATCAAGTACATAAACCGTGAATATTTTAGCTGGTCTGCATGGTATTGCAACTTTCTTGTAGAATCTTGCTCCAGTGACTTTGTGAAAGCCCTTCTTATAAACCGCTTGAAAGTCGTCGATGTTGCTGAACTTGAAGAGAATTCCCGTTGCTGTTTTCGTTAGCGAGAAAGCACCACTGTAACAGTATTACCCCTAATTACATCGTTATTCAGAAAATAATGAGGGCAAAGGTAAAATCCAATTGCAACGATGGCCAGGGCAATTTCCACTGCTGGTGGGGGCGGATTATAGTCATTCCAGTTGATTAGATCCCAAGATACTAGGCAAATAATGGATAGTACCAAAATAATCGTCATATTCTCCTTCTACCATGATTTTACATTTTTCTTTGTCAATGCAACATTAACCAATGATTTTATTTTTCATTAAAGTTCATTTTTATCTTTATTTATCCGGGTGAACATTAATTCTCGGGTCAACCTCAATTAAATCCTAATTAAATACGAAGTCGAAGCTTAAATATTAAAAATGGCGGACTAAAAAATTGAATTATGCCACAGTTTTTGGGAAATACCTCGGAACTGAAGAGAGACTGCGATATTTTCATAAATATCTTTTTTTTAGCTCTCATAATTTCCTACAAAAAATGTTCAATATTTGTCTATTATATATTTAATACATTAGATTATAGATATATCTTTTCGAAACATTTTTTAAATTCTATTTTTCAACATTAACAATAAAAATCGTGGTTGATCTACTGAATTGAATTTATTAGTTATACACTTTCATTATAGAAGGAATTGAATATATCGTTGAAGCTTTTAAAATTCATAACTTTTCAAGTGCTCGTGTATGATTATCTAGGAAGTGCAGATGTTCCGAATGTAGCGTTACGAAGAACTGAACGGAGTAAAAATGAATATTTTAATGAAGATATTTATAATCCCCTTTAATTGACCAGAAAATGGGTGGGACCTTTAGTGTGCCATCAGCAGTGAGTATTCAAGTGTCGTAGAAAAGTCCCCAGGGGTACGAAGCGAACCCCTTATCAAGACCAAGTGGCGTGTTGAGAACATGCATTTATTAGTGCTCATGTGGATGAATAAAAAGGGAAAGAGTCAGGGTGAGATGGAGGGATGGAGGGAGAGAGGATGAGAGCTGGGATGGTACAAGTCAGTGGGTTCTAGAAGTGGTGGCATATCGTTAGGGTGAAGATGAGGGAGGGATGCCAAGAGAGCCGGAAGTTCATTTTCTTGTGAATGGTCTTGCAGTCGTGTGCTTGCGCTTGGATGAAGCCAAATGATGATGAAGAGGAAAAAGGCAATTGTTGAATATTTCAGGGGAATTCCGACGGGAATTCCACCGTCTACCGTCAATTTTTTTCGCCAAAATTATTCTCTTCTTGCGCTTGATTAGATGATGACGAGAGAACCCAAATATCTTTTATTTCTCTGAAAATTTTGGGAATTATCAATCCTTGATTCAATACATAATTTTACTTTGGAATGAAAATTGGAGAAAATGCCACTTCTTTTTGCAGCATTTTTCAATTTAGAGTAATTATTATGCAATTAGATTTTTAGAAATTACGGGATTTAGGATTTCATGATATTAAAACGAGAATTTTTTAAGTCAGAACGAATCAGTGATTTTTTAAATAGATTAAATTCAATTATAGAGATTTTATAATTTCTAGTCCGATCGGAATTTCAAGGAATTTCACAAAAAAAATTGGAAATTTAATGAAAAATCAGTGAATACAGACAAAAAAATCACTTTCAGAAAATCCATAAATTCCTTCCTTCTAGTCAATGCTTTTTTTCCACAATTACATTAATTTTTCATGGAAAATTCGTAAGATTGATAATTCCTCTATGCCAACTTCACCCTAAACACACAGTAATTAAAAAAGTCATTAATTCCGCTTATCCACCGCTCACGAATTCCCCTAAACTCAGGATCCCAGAATTACCCGACTCTTCCCAAAAACCACACCAAGAAAAAGAAAGACTTGCCAAGTAAATTGATTAAAGTCATATAGATGATTCCGGCATCCGTGAAGATCCATTTTTCTCAGCCCTTTGACATCAACTTTTTGGCAAATAGGAAAAGAAGGAAAAATAATAAAGACTCACCGGAAATTCATCTTGTCACATATGGTTGCGGCTTTTTCCATTGTCAATTCATGACTGGGTGTGAGTAAAAATGCTCCCTTTGTCAAAAAATCATTCTCACTCATTTCGGAATCAGAATCACGATCATAATCTCTCTCTTGTGCAACAGCACCCTCTTGATTGAGTCTAAGCGTTGAGTTGTTCTTCGATGTTGACATTTCCTTGTCAAAGGTTGTACTGACGTTGTGATCCGATTGTGACATGCTCTTTTATACTCCAATGATTCCACCAATATGTTGTAGTAGGGATATTGTTAATATCAAGTGCGTATTATAAATTAAATTCAAAATTACTTTTTGAATATCGTTATGTACGAGGACAAACCGCTTCTTAACGTTCGTTTTGGTACACTGAGCGCGCCTTATGGAACACGACTCGCCTTTTATACTGCCACATATATGGTAATCATCAATTCTTCAGTTTCATTTTATTCGGGTTTGGCTGTTTTTTTTTTTATTATTGTTTGGTTCGATTGGTGGAGCATGGCCCATGAAGGCGAATGCGTTTGATCGGTTAGTTCTTTTTTGTCGTCTCGATTCAGTGATGACTGTTGGGTGGGACGACATCACTCGGCCTTGATCATGATTTCATATGACACCATTTTTCAACAGATGTTTGCCGGTTTTTATCTTTTTTTATTGAAAAAAAATACGGGAAAACTGCCAGGGATTTTACTCAGGGATAATTGAATTATGGGTGTCGGAACATTTTTTTTGTTTTTCGGCAGATAAAATTTGTTCTATGAATTTTTGAGAACCCCTAAAGTTTGTTGAGTGGTGGATTTGTTTTTGTGGAGTCTAGAAACTTTTTTTGGTAAATTTCTTGAGGGCAGAGCAATATATTTTTTTTTTATGGAAAGTGGGAGAAAGTTTCTTCAATGGAGGATTTTTTCATAATCTATCATAACGATTTTCGTGAATTAAAAACATTCTCAATGGCTATTTGAATTTTTCGGAGTAATTGCCAAAATTTCGTGAATATTGTTCAATGATAATGTCATGACAATATTGAATGTTTTCTTCAAAATTGCCCGACCTTTGCTGCGCAATTAAAAAGAAATTAAAGCAGCTAAAAATCATTAAAACGATTTTTTATCGCATCATCCCTGCGGTTGGCGTGAGTTGTTACGTAATTTTTCCTGAAATTTATTTCTCCACGTCAATAGCAAAGCCCAAGGCATCAGATGAAAATAAGATAGACACGTCCTATTATATTTATCTCACTTTTATCTCTAATTCATCTTGTGACTCATCAAATTCTCTTTCTCGGTAGTGCCTCCTCTCCCCCCAGTGTAAAACCCATTACGTCTCTGGGTAATACGATTAAAACAACACAGAGACTTCATTAATTACCATTCATCAAATTAACGATCGATAATAACGTCCACCAGGATAATTGGAAGACGTATTCCCCTCCCAATTGAACGTTGCAGGTCTTCATTAATCCATCATCGGAATTGTTTCGTTTGATCAAGAGTGATTACAACGAGTTTAATTAAGTGAAGTAGTTGTTTTTAAGTACTTGATGAAATAAAAAAAGAAAACGAAGTGGAGAAAATATAGTGAGGAGAGAAATACGATATTCGCTCGACCGTGACACTTGGAATAGATCCATTGGTGAATTTATCGTCTCATCGAATCATCCAATTAAGCACCCACTCGATCCATTGTCCGAGCTTGAAGTATGAAATAATAATGCAATGTTTGGGTGATAAAAAATATGAGTAAAAAATGGTTGATTGCACCACCCACTGGTGGGTGGAGACTTTGCTCAATAATTGGGTAATTTTCTGGTAATTGATTGGGTCTATTGGGAGTTATTGCCGTCAAGGTTTACGATTAGAAAATAATTGCGAAATTCTGATGACGTGTGGGGGTACTATTCAAAATTTTGAGAGGTGATTTTTTTGAGAATCTGATTTTTGGGTCCGCGAACTGGAGATTGTGCACATATATTTTGGGTATGAATAATGATAAAATCCGCAAACTGGAAAAAACTGGGAGACAAAGAAAAATTTATCCCAGCCCCAGGGGCCTGATCTAGGATTTGTGGGGGAGGAAAAGGTTTTTTTAAAAAATTGACTCGTTCCATCAACTGATGATTAACATTTTAATCGCGTACACGACAATAAAATGTTGTGATTGAAAAAAAGTACGGGGGCATGATTTTTTTTTGGATTTCGGGTCTTAGGGGTCTTAAGGGCCCTAGGGCTTAACATCGATCATTATAAACCCATTAAAAATACGAAAAGAACTAATTTTATTTTTCTCCCCCATCTGCTGATCAGGAATCAGGGATCAGGAAGGGGGGGGGGAGAGGGGGCAATACTAATTACCACTCATGAAGGCGATTATTGGATGATTTTTATCATTAAAATCTCCAATTTGGAGGTGGAAAAAACAGTCGAGTAAAATTTTTAGGGTGAATTCGTAACAAAAGCTGTTGCCAGGGGAAAATCAGCTCGCGATGCGGTGGCACGTGACTTAGATCGATCCTAAGCACACATGTAACCTCATTTTCAAAGTTGGGCTTGCATTCCGAGCGTAGAAAATAGGCCACGAGCCTCTGATTGCTTTCTCCCCCTCGCCAACCCCTTTCCATCCACCCCTTCTCTCTACTTTTCCCTATTCTCTATTTTTTTTTACACCCTCAAGTGTTACCACAAAGGCATTCGAACACTTATACCTCCAGGCGTTACTTCGACGGGGTGTCATTACAGTTGTGACAAAGTGGAATATTTCACTGGATTCGCCTGGAAATATCCACGGATAAAAATATTCAATAAACATTACGTTATGTTAATAAAATGAGCGAAAGATGGTTAAAGAAAAATTTTAGGGAACTGTTGGAAATTTTTTTTGGGGAGTCTTGTAGTTTTTATCGGAATTTTCGGTGAATTAGTATTTGCGGGGACATGGAAAAGAAAATTATTTGTACACAATCGCCAGGTTTTTATTTTTGGTTTTTTATTTTCTGACAAAATTACACAGTCATAAATGAATACATATAAAATTTGGGGTCGAGGACAGGTGAATAGTTATTCGAGTTCACTTAGGAAATGGAAAATTTCACTGAAAAATAAAAGATATAATATTTTCTGCTTTTTTGGCTTTCAGCTTCAATCAATTATGCCAAAATAATTAACTTTTAATCTCATGAAACATTTTTTAATGTTCGCACGGAGAGAGATATTGAGTAAAATTGATAACGGAGAAATCACGTGTTTTTTAGGGATTATTTCTCGAAAAACGTAAAAAATCGATGAAACATTGGTAAATTTAATAACGGCCATCACGTCCTAATGGAGCTCCATAAATACGTAATGAAGAGATGCATCAAGGTGATTGCACGGAAGCTTACCCTTCCCCCAGTTTAACTAAACACCTACTTCCTGATGAGTCTCGCCATTCCCAAAATTCCCCACTCAATACCCAACATAATGCACAAACCCCGAGCAACACTGTCCCACGCCAAAATTCGCCATCTTGGTTTGCAATCCCCTTCGTCCGCCCGCCGACATCACACCGTCTCTAGTGAATCCCGCGGAGGGGGCGGCTGTGGCGAGTATAATTGGACGAAGGCGCTCGTAATTGCTTTGTTAAGTAATTAGCCGGTCGGTTCGGCACGAGCCTCTTCCCGCCGCGCTAATTCCGCCAATTTGATTTTAAACCCGACCATACCCCTCACCACCCCCCCCCTTCCACCACCCTTCACCGCCCGTCATTTCTCCATCCCCGGTGACGGCATTATACTGTCCACCGTTGAAAAATTCCTGCCTTTCGATGTCCCTGTCGACGTCTTACGGAAATATTCCGGGGAATCTTCCGCGAATTATGGAAATGGTATTCTTCGTGGTTTGAGAGGAATTCAGGGGAATATTGCGGTTTAGGGGTAAAGAACATATTAATATTATTCAGTGTTGGCAATGGGAATTCTCCAATCGGGAATTTGCTTTTTCGAATCGGAAATATGAATTATTAATTGAGAAATATGTAGTCTGGAAATCAGAAGTATGAATTTTCACTTGAGGAGTATGGAATCTCAAATTAATAATTTTACTTTTTAATTGAGAAATATGAATTCTCCAACCAAGAATATGAATTCTCGAATCAGGAATATATTTTCTCGAATCGAGAATATGTATTCTCAAATCAGTAATATGAATTTTGAATTAAGGAATATGGAATCTCAAATTAAGAATTTAACTTCTTAATTAAAAAATATGAATTCTCCAACCAAGAATATGAATTCACGAATCAGGAATATATTTTCTCGAATCGAAAATATGTATTCTCAAATCAGGAATATGAATTTTGAATTAAGGAATACGGAATCTCAAATTAAGAATTTAACTTCTTAATTGAGAAATATGAATTCTCAACTCAAGAATGTAAATTCTCAATTATGCAATATAGATCCTTGATTTGGAATTAGATATTTCTGAACCGAGAATATGAATTCCTGAATCGCAGAATTGAATGTTCAGTTCAGGAATATAATCCTGAATTGAGAGTAGACCTTCTTGTACAAGGAATACGAATTCTCGAGTCTACACTATTGATTTCCGAATCAGGTTTATTCATATTCGCGATTCGAGAACAAATCCAACGGGAATCATATATTTTGGGATTGACTTCAAAGCGGAAATGACTCTCGAAATATACATAGATATCACTTATGCAATACTAATATTCAATTCCAAGAAGAATTTAATTGCATTCGCTGCTAATAACCTCAAATTCAAAGTATTCAGATTATCCAGAGTAATTACAGAGCTTTAAAGCTTTCATTCCCTGACTTTAAAAGAATAACCTCGCAGTCAGTGAAAAGGTAATTTATTCCTAGGATCTCAGGCTCATAAATTTTCATTAAACACAGAATCCTAGAATCAAGTGACTTGTCTTGAAGGATGAGAATATTTTTTTTTCTTTGTGCCCTCGCGATTCGAATAAAATAGGTGAGAATGTGATTTTCAATACCACAAATTTATAGGTTATAAGAAAGAAGTAAATTTGATAGTGTGGTCTTTGATCAGCTCTGATTGCCTCCACTTTGATGTACGTGAGCTCTAGATTACTTGGTGGGATTACACGGTTCGGCTCAGTGATGATTCTTGGGCCCTCGAGGGGGTTGGAAACCCATGTCATCTTACAGATTTGTTCAGCCTGATTACAGGTCTGATTGTAAAATCAATTTGCTCAGTGTTTCATGCTTATCAGGGCTTTTCGGTGACTTCATTAGTGATATAGAATCTTCAGAGGGAATTTCGATATTCCATCAATGACTTTGCTAATTAGTCTGTTAATCGATTTCTCAAAAATCAAAAGTTTCGCGGAAAAG